CCAAAACCTCTGCCTCCCGGGTTCCAGCAATTCTCCTGCCTCAGCGAGTAGCTGGGATTACAGGCATGCGTCATCACAACCGGCTAATTTTTAGAGAGATGGGGTTTCTCCATGTTGGTCAGGCTGGTCTCAAACTCCTGACCTCAGGTGATCCGACCACCTTGGCCTCCCAAAGTGCTGGGATTACAAGCATGAGCCACTGCGCCTGGCCTGTTTGCTTTTCTTTTAACTTCCTACCGCTCCATCCACAGGAAATCACACTGCACCGAGGCCCACCACGGCGATGCTTCCAGCAGGCCTGGGAAAACAGGGGTTAACTTTGATTTGGTTCTTTCCAAAGTCCTAAGAGGGGAGACTTTAGAAACCTGCCAAAACATCAATAGCAAAATAATTCTTTTACAAAACCCATTTGAATACTGGTAATTACAGAGCCCTCAATTAGGCACTTGGGAATGACAGAAAGAGCCTCAAGGGGACTTCAAGGGACCAGGACAGATGCCCCTAAAGAGCTATAATATAATTACTACATAATAAAAACTGTTGCATCATATTGGAGAGAAATATCTCAAAACGAGAATAAAAGATTTGCAGAGCTTTCTGAAAACAGTCTTTGCTGGTCAACCTTGTTCTCAAATACCTGGTAAGGTGGGGACCATTCCCATTCTCTTTCTCTCTCTCTCTGCCTGACTCAGGGAAAAAAATCATTTCATCTCAGTAGTCAAAAGCCTCAATTTCCTCAACTCTGAAAAGACCAGCTTTAATGCATGCCAAGCACAGTATTAGACCTCAAAAACCAAGACAGCTCCACGTGGCCACTCCAAACAGGACAGATAATCTGCCAATATAATCGCCGGTTACAGAAACCCACAGTTTATCCCCTGCATCACTTACAGCTGGCCTCGACTGTGGAAAGGCTGAGTGTCAGCAAGAACACCCCGAACCTGGATGCTCCCCAGAGTCTGATTCGTTCGTGAAAACACTCCATTAAAACTGTACCGAAACGCTGATAATCTACATGTACAGAGAGAAAGGAGCTCCACATCCAGGAGACTCGCCTACTTCGTTTTTTCTAACTCTGCGGAAGGAGTGAAACCAGCATTACAGGGCTAAGACGTACTAATTCTACACTGATGCACTAACTTGTAGGAGACATAATGTTTTAAGATATCATAGGTTTAAACAGGCGAGAGTTAAAAAACAGGTTCGAGCAAGTTTATTTGCAAAGAGAGACAGGAAGGCTCGAGCCCTACCCAGGCAGTCGTGCTAGTACCGAGCCAGGGTTGGGTCGGGAAATTCAGGAAGCAGGGCTGAGTTTTCCCTTCGCCCAGACCTGCGCCCGGTAGTTTGGAAGTCAGGCTTCCAGACATTTTCAAAGGTACAGAACCCACGCTCGACTTCGAGATGCCAAGCGCAACCTGCTTGGGTTGTTTGACCCGAGTTTTATTCAGGGCATAGCAAAGGAGACGTTGCCTAAACCCACTTTTCTTCCTGATTCATCCGACAGGCAGAGTGGAGAGGGCTACGGAGCTCGGCGCTATTCACCAGTGCCGGGTGCAGGAGGCTACACGTCCCTGGAGCAGTCGGGATCCTCCGCCCGAGCCCTGCACGCCCCGCCCCACGCGGAGTCCCGGAGGCCGGAGGGGAAGACCCCGGGGTAGCCTCCTGGGCTTCCCCCTACCCCTTCCCGCCCGCCCAGGGCACAGGATTTCCCGGACGGCTGAGTGCCGCAGGGCCAGCCCAGGTGACCCACCCGAGCCCTACGTTCGGCAGCGGAACTGGGAGCGCACCCAAGCAGCTCCTCGACGCCTGGTCTTCTGGCCCGGTTCTCCGATCTGACAACCCCCGCGCTG